AAATATATATATATATATATATATATATATATATAAATATTTTTCTTTCTCGTTATTAATTTTTAATAATTATTTTTTTTTGTATTAGATTTTTATTGTATTTTTTTTTTTTTTTATATTAATTTATTTTTTTTTTTTTTTTTATTTTTTTTTATATTTTTTTTTACATCTTTTTTTTTTTTTTTTATTTATTTATATTTATATATATATATATATATATATATATATATATATATATATATATATATATATATATATATATATATATATATATATAGGTAGAATGTAGTGTAGTGTTTGTAGTGAAGGAGTTTGTGTGTGCAGTGTGTGGTGTGTGTAGCGTGTGTTGTACCTGTAGCAGGATCAACGTCTCTGTCGATCAGGTGCTGGTCCTGATGAACCCACTCTCCATTGCACTTGAAGTAGATCTGTGTGGCGGGTGTGGAGCGGCAGGTCAGAGTCACCGGCTTATTCTTCACTATATAAACATCATCCGGCTCAATCAGGAAGTGAGGCAGCTGGTCCGAGAAGGCCACAGGAAGTGGATGCGTGACGGTAGCTGCATGTTCTCCACCTGAAAACACAATTATGACAATAGTTCAAAAACTGTCTATTCATTCATTTATTCATTCATTCGTTGTTCACCTTTTCCAAGTATTCTTGTAGATATTTGAAGGTTCAAAAACAGTATATCGTCACATTCGATCCTTATTTGCCTTTTTTTCCCAATATTGTTGTAGGTGTGGGTAGGTTTGAAACAGTATATGTCATTCATTCATTCATTCATTCATTCATTCATTCATTCATTCATCTGGTTGTTTGTTCATTCATTCGTTAGTTCATTGATTGATTGATTGATTGATTGATTGATTGATTGATTGATTCATTCATTCGTTCATTCATTCATCCATCCCTCCATCCATCCATTGATCGATCGATCGATTGATCGATCGATTTATTGATTCATTCATTCATTCATTCTTCCCCCAGTATTTTTATAGATGTTGTAAGGCACAAAAACAGTATACAGTCACATTTATTCATTCATTCATTCATTTTTTCCAGGATTTTTGTAGGTGTCAGAAGGTTCAAAAACAGTATACTTCATTCATTTGTTTGTTTGTTCATTCATTCGTTCATTCATTCGTTCATTCATTCATTCATTCATTCATTCATTCATTCATTCATTCATTCATTCATTCATTCATTCATTCATTCATTCATTCATTCTCTTTTTCCCAGTATTCTTGTAGATATCAAAAGGTTTAAAAACAGTATACAGTTCAATCATTCATTTATTCATTATTTTCCTTTTTTCCAGTATTATTGTAGGTGTTAAAAGGTTCAAAAACAGTATACATCATCCATTCAGTCGTTTGTTTGTTCATTCATTCATTTATATTTCCCAGTATTCTTGTAGATGTTGAAAGGCTCAAAACAGCATGCAGTCAAAATTGTTCATTCATTCATTAAGTCATTCTTTCATTCATTTTTCCAGTATTCTTGTAGGTGTCGGAAGGTTCACAAACAGTATACTTCATTCATTTGTTCGTTTGTTCATTTCTTCATTCATTCACTTTTTCCCAGTTTTCTTTTAGATGTCAAAAACAAGATTCAAAAACAATATACCATCACATTCATTTATTTATTCATTGTCTTTTCCCAAGTATATTTTTAGGTGTTTGCTCATTCATTCATTCATTCATTCATTCATTCATTCATTCATTCATTCATTCATTCATTCATTCATTCATTCATTCATTCATTCATTTATTCATTCATTCATTCATTTTTTTGTATTTTCCCCCATTATACTTGTAGGTGTTAGTTCATTCATTCATTCATTCATTTGTGTATTCCCCAATATACTTGTAGGTGTTCATTCATTCATTCATTCATTTTGTATATTTTTCCTCCAGTATACTTGTAGGTGTTAGTTCATTCATTCATTCATTCATTCATTCATTCATTCATTCATTCATTCATTCATTCATTCATTCATTCATTCATTCATTCATTCATTCATTTTTTATTCCCCCAGTGTACTAGTAGGTGTTCATTCATTTATTCATTGATTTTTTTTTGTATTTTCCCCCCATTATACTTGTAGGTGTTAGTTCATTCATTCATTTTTGTATTCCCCCAGTATACTTGTAGGTGTTCATTCATTAATTCATTCAATCATTCATTCATTCATTTTTTTTTGTATTTTCCTCCAGTATACTTGTAGGTGTTAGCTAATTAATTAATTAATTCATTCATTCATTCATTCATTCATTCATTTTTTGTATTTTTCCGCAGTATACTTGTAGGTGTTAGTTCATTCATTAATTCATTCATTCATTCTTTGAATAAGTTTCTTTTTGCCATTAAACAAAGCAAAATATAACTTTTTTTAAAGTGTCCCAGCATCTTTAGTCCACACTCCAGATCAGTGGGTGGTGGTAACGTACCCAAAAGCTGTTTGCCAACCACCAATAAAAGTCATAAGGAGAAGAAGAAGATGCCCAAAAGCTTTTAGCGGTGCACAGAGATAATGAGTGTATCTGATTTAATTTCACACTCCAAGCCCCGTGAGCGGACAGATTGCTTCTGACACGCACCTGAGTGCAATGCTAATCTTGTGCATCCGCATTTGATAGAATACAGATATTCTGCCAAGCACAGACGACAGAGCTGCTGAAATAATGCTAATGACGGCCTGCTAGAGGTGTGCGTTCAGCCACGCGGAATAAGTTCTGAATGGGCTGTGATGTCATCGTGGCTCATGAATATTAATGAGGTGCACTGGTAAATATTGCAAGCAGCTCACATCATGAAGACAAAGAGATTTCATATGTCAATTGAATAATTTAACATCAGATTGGGAGAAAATAAATGCATGAAGTATTTAAATGACAGTATATGTGAAAACATTTACCAGCCCGTGTTAGTCTACATCAGGGGTGCCCAAACTTTTTCGTATAAAGGGCCAAAAATCTAATATCATTATGAGCCGTGGGCCGAAGGTGGATATATTAAATAAAAGTGGTGATGGGTAATTTCCTAATTTATTTCATAATATTCAATCATTTATTTTCTTTTCGGCTCAGTTCCTTTATTACTCCGAGGTCGCCACAGCGGAATGAACCGCCAACTTGTCCAGCATGTTTTTACGCAGCGGATGCCCTTCCAGCCGCAACCCAAAGTAAACGTTTAGTATGATTTACCATCAGACATTTAAAAAAAAATGGTTATGTTCCTTTTTTTAGAGTGTATGTAAACTTTTGGTTTCAACTGTATAAACATATTTTCCCAATTATTTCCCAAATAATTCAGGAATTTTTCCCAGTATTTTCTATAATATTTTTTCTTCTTCTTTTCAAATTTTTTAACCCATTTTAAGATCAATATCATTATCCTCCTTAAGCAATGCTAATTTTCGACTGTCTACAGAACAAACCCCTGTTATACAATGACTTGCCTAATTATTCTAACTTTACCCTAATTCAAGAGTTCACACTTAGCTGATGATTGATAATACAGTTAGTTTGGCGTGCTGTCCCGGGAGAGAGCACTGAGCTTATAAGATCCTCGAGCCCTGGGCTCCCTCTCGTTGCAAGGCGAGAGGGGAGTTTGAGCTCAGGTAGATCTCGATGACTCCCCCTCTTGTTTATTGTAGCTAAGTGTCAGATATGAATGCTGAGAAGGTGTTTGGCTAAAAGTTTGGCTAAAATATTTTGGATTAAATGTTTAGGGTGCTTGTTTAGAACTGTGGGGGGAAACCAGAGGACCAGGGGAAAACCCACGCGACAATGGGGAGAACAAGCGAAACTCCACACAGAAATGTCGCCTGGTTTGGAAAGGAATTAAACCAGGGGCATTCTTGCTGTGAGGCAACAGCGGCAATCGCGGCCACCGTGACACCCATTTGAAAGGAGGGAAAGTAGGAGGGGGTTTCTTCGAGAAGAAGATATTGAGATGAGAAAAGTCTGGTTATTTAGTGAGTTACGGATCGTCTGATAGGATAATTAGTCATTAGCTAAAGTTGGAACAGCTGTGAACAATCATAAGCACGTGATCCTCTCGAAATTTGTTTATAAATAAACTTCACTTAAAGGTGCAGTAGGTGATCTGCCAAAATGCTCACCGCTTAGCATATTATCTTTGGACGGCAGGGAGGGAGGGACTGTGATTCAAAGCCACACCCCCTGGACCGCGTCACAACAGCCGACAGACAACTCACTAGTTCATGTCGTTCGCCAGTTAGTTAGTGCCAGCGCCGTGCAGGAATTACATGTATTACTTTGCAACACTTACATGCTATTTCAGAGCGAATATTCAGAGTAACGGTAGCGGTAAACAGTGGAGGAAGGCTGTCATTGTTCAAAAATGACCCAATGTGAATATAAAAGCAACTTCAGCTAAATAAAGCAGGCTAGGCGGAATAGCGCTATTTACTGGTGTTTTGTTGTTAAACTAAATATAAATCTACATTACAGATGCTGTCAAAGAACCTTATGAAATTGAAAATAATCACATCAATCTTTCACCGGGAGATTCAGTGGCTGAACAACACGTCTGTGCATAGAAGACATTCATAACAGAACATAATCTAACATAAGCTTAGCCTGACTAAAAGAGTTTCAAAACAGAACATGACCTGTCTAACAGTAATACTTCAGCCATGGTGTCGTCCTTTCTCCAGCGTGCTAAAATAACTCCAATACTGATTCAGGATTTTCAAAAGTTTCAATGCAGCATTTGATTTCTCCCGGTCCGTCTCGTGACCGTGCGGCCGCTTTAAGAGCAAATTATACCCGCGCCTGGCTTTACAGTAATCGGCCTGAGCTCGGCTGTCCTTCGGCGCCTCCGGCTCCGACTCGCGCGCATGCGTTTGTGATGCAGACGGGCACGCGCTAATGGCGGATCTGCCTGAACACATGCGCAGAAGTCGGAATCTACATATGCTGACAGACAGTCTGACCTGCCTATCGGAATTAAGGGAGATGACGGTCCGACTCTATTTAATTGTATAAACATTTTTTAGTTTTATGCTTTACCCAGAACATAAAAATACATATAAACACATTTAGATCATTTACTGTCATCATTACTAGTGGACTGTGAAGAGACTTTCAACCAGCACAACAACACATGTTTCTGAAGACAATCACCTACTGCACCTTTAAGGTTAATTAGAGTAAAGTTAGGGTAATTAGGCAAGTTAAGCCTTTAAATGTCACTTTAAGCTGAATACTAGTGTCTTGAAGAATATCTAGTCAAACATTATTTGCTGTCATCATGGTAAAGAGGAATTAAATCAGTTATTAGAAATGAGTTATTAAAACTATTATGTATAGAAATGTGCTGAACAAATCTCTCAGTTAAACAGAAATTGGGGATAAAATATACAGGACGGCTAATAATTCAGACTTCAGCTATATGCAATGTCCTCACAATGCACAAAAACAAATCTGTGTGTGCATGTGTGTGTTTGAGAGAGAGAGAGAGAGAAAGCGTCCTCTTGTTAACAGGCGGAGTTAAAAGCCGCTGAGTGTTGTGGCCTTGTCGGGGTTTGCCTACAGCACTACT